TAAAATGTAATTTAATAAAAAAATTAAGTTTTTTTTAAATTTATCGGGTGGTCCTAAACTTTTGGCCAGGGAGTGTAAACTCCGTGATATCACTAAAAATATTAAAAAACAAGATCGTCTACATCATACTGGTGGGCACGATAATAATAACTAAGGTTCTAAACTCATTTTGGATTTGGAAAACCGTCTAAACCTTTTAGTTTCGGTAATTTTTTTTATTAAGTTTTTGATATAATTTTACCATTTTTATAAGTTTGATATAGTTTCATCTTCAGATATATTCTATAATTTCTGTTGAATGTGAACGTAAACTTAAATGTAGATTTAAATGTAGACTTGAACGTAAATTTTAACATCAACTAGGTATTTTCAAAGTTTGATACTTTTATTTGATTATATTGGAATGAATTCTTATAGCTTGAATTTTACAAAAATTTGAAAAATAGTGTGAAAAGAAAAATAATTAATGAAGAATTTATTAACATAAAAACCAATTGAAAAAACCTTTTAATTGGTCTAAAATTAAATAAGTTATCATTTTCGAGGACCTTTCACAATTATTACTGGACAATGTGCATTTTGTTGACAGAAATCAGAAAAACTTCCCAAGAAAAATCTAATTGAAAATTTTATTTTTATTATAAAAAAATATATTATAAAGGTTATTTAATATGACCGAAATAAAATTAAAAAACCGCGAACCTTTTCCACGCTGACAAATCTCTACTTCCCATTATAAGCACATCAGCTTTCTCTTTTTCAGTATAGTCTACAACTATATTTCGAGGATCTAAGTTCGATTTTATTATTTCTACTTTACATTTGATCTAAAAAGAAAGTGAATTTAACTATAGTGTAAAATTATTTGTGATATATATAAACAATTGTTTAATTACATTTACTTCAGCAAGATCATTATTACATTCATATCTCGCTTTTAACTTGTTAACGAATGGTATCATTGCGTCAGTGTTCTTTTGTTCTACCTCCAAATATAAATTAAAAAATTAAAAAGTTAATAATTAATTATTATACGATAATTTTAATAATTATAGCAAATATTACTTCTTTTTCCAGATCAGCGACATACTTTGCTCCATAGTTTATATTCACACCTAATTATTTAAGGAAAAAAGTGTATGAAAATATTGATAATTGGTTGAAGATAACTTCGAATGTTATGGTCAATGAATAATACCTAATTCAGTTGGGTCAAGTTCAAGATTTAGACTCAGAGCTGAAAATAAATGTATATCATCTCGTTCAGGCTTAAGGAAATTATCAATTATCCAATCTATAGTATACGAAGCCTCGTCAGAAAAAGGATCTAATGCAATAACTACCTTTCTCTTATTTGACATTTTTTTAGATATGAAATCCGTTAAATTTTTCGTGAAATAGATCAGTATTTGTGCGAATTTGATTGGAGGATCTTTTTATTTTTTCCAAATAATAAATGATGGCAAAAAAAAAAAAACCAAACAGAAAATTTACTTTTTTTTTTAAAAAAAAAAAAAATGAAAATATCAAGTACAGAATCAGAGCACAGTAGCATAGAAAGTGACAGTGATAATAATGCGGATATTTCTTCCTCATTGATCAAAGGTGGCGAAGAAGCATATGAAGAAGAAGCAACTTTCATTTCTAAACAACTTCAAGCCAAAAATCGGAAAAAGAAGAAATCCGGCGGGTTTCAATCAATGGGTATAAAGTTATCTGTAATGTGAGCAAACTCTTGGATAAGAACTTAATTATGTTGTTCATTTTCAATAGGTCTAAGTTTACCAATATATAAAGCAATACTGTATAAGGGTTTTAAAGTGCCAACTCCTATACAGCGCAAGACAATTCCACTTATTATGGACAGGAATGACGTTGTAGCCATGGCACGAACAGGATCCGGTAAAACAGCAGCATTCTTGATACCAATGTTGGAAAAGCTAAAATGCCATTCCGCTATGGTACATATATTTATATATCAATTAAAATATAAAGTTTGAAAAATACATCTAATTATTCTCGTTAATTAGGTTGGTGCACGTGCAGTTATATTATCACCATCACGTGAGTTAGCACTTCAAACACAAAAAGTGTGTAAAGAACTTGCAAAACATACCGACCTCAGAACCTGCATATTAGTTGGTGGTGATAGTTTAGAAGATCAATTCGCGATGATTGCAGGCAATCCTGATATGTATGTAATTACAATTAGATGTAAAAATGAGCCAATTAATATGCATCAAGATAACATTAAATATTCATCAGTGTTATAGCGACGCCAGGACGTCTACTCCATTTGATAGTTGAAATGGATATGGAACTCAAAAGTGTCGAATATATCGTTTTTGATGAAGCCGATAGGTGATTACAAATATATATATATAATACTTTTATTAAATAAGTTATCTCTATGCTAAGATTGACCATATATATATATGTTATTCCAGATTATTCGAATTAGGATTTTCGGTTCAATTACATGAAATTTTGCATAGATTGCCTCAATCGAGACAGACAATGCTTTTTTCTGCGACTTTACCTCAATCACTCGTAGATTTTGCAAAAGCCGGTTTACATGAACCGATTTTAGTGAGATTAGACATTGATACCAAAATTAGCACTGATTTGGAGGTAATCTTTGATTTTTTTTTTTTTTTTAAACCCAAATCAAATTTTGATTTCCAAACTTTTGAATTAATAATGAATTTAAATATGTAGATGGCTTTCTTTTCAATAAAACATTCAGAAAAAGAAGCCGCTCTTTTATATATTATAAAGGAAATCATCAAAGTTCCAATCAATTTAAACCCCATAAACAATGATAAGTTAAAATCTTCAAGCAAGAAATCGATTGAGAAGAACGCTTCTCATTCCTCACTTTCTCATCAAACTATAATATTTGTATCAACCAAACATCATGTTGAATATATTACAAATCTATTGAACCTCGCAGGATATCAACCTTCTTATATTTATAGTTCACTTGATCAAACGGCCCGAAAAATTCAAATAAATAATTTTCGAAATGGTCAAACCAATTTGTTAGTTGTCACCGATGTGGCTGCTCGTGGAATAGATATTCCAATTTTGGAGAATGTAATTAATTACGATTTTGTTGATACTAGCAAAGTTTTTATTCATCGAGTTGGTCGAACGGCGAGAGCTGGTAAAAGAGGTTGGGCGTACTCATTAATAACTCCCGATGAGGTATTTGTTTAGAAGTAAACGGTAATTACGTTTATAATTCATTATAATAAAAGGTCGTAGCTTCCCTATTTGTTAGATCTCCAGCTGTTTCTCGGTCGTCGATTGGTGATAGGTTCATCGGCAAATTCAAATCCGGAATACACATCTGATATTATTATGGGTGGTTTCCCTATCGATTCTTTGGGCGTAAATTTGGAATGGATTAAAAGTATACTTAAAGAAGTTAGCAATATTGAAGCGCTTAATAATGTTGCAAATAACGGATATAAGCAATATTGCAAATCCAGACCGTTGGCATCATCGGAAAGCTATAAAAGAGCCAAGGAAATTATGGCAACGGAGAAATATAATGATGTACATTTCCTTTTTGGTTTGCATCGAATTTTAATTCTTTTTTTTTCTTTTATTTTTAAAAAAAAAATTTTTTCCTTTATAATTAATTTAATGAATTATTTGAAATTTCCCTTTCCCCTTAATTTTTCAGCTGATAAGGTTGATGAAAAAGAAAAGGAGCGACGAAACTTAATTAGTTCGATTTCTAGTTTCAGACCGCATGAAGTGAGCATATTTTACCTTTTTTTTTTAAAAAAAAAAACAGATTTGTTTCTAGTATTGAATAAGAAATATGAAAATTTTGATAAATCATAGACCATATTTGAAATCGGAAGCCGAGGTAGTAAGAAAACTTCCGCAGCGCAAATTATGAAACAACGCCGAGGGAATGTTTCAAAGAAAATTGAAGCACATAAGTCCAGTATTTTGAATAATAATTTAAGTACATATCAATCAGAACCTATAAATTCCAATCTAGATGGGGAAAAAGTTGAGGTGAGAAATTGATAATAAATCTCGATTTATTTTACCATAACATTAATATTAATCTTTAATAGAATTCTGTGATCAAAATCTTAAAGAAGAGGAAGGCAGATGATAGTAATATTGAAATCTGTGTGTACATTTATATACATTATCGAATCTGCTTTATCTAACATCCATAGGTTTTTTTATTGAATCCATTTCCATCTGTTATTGTAGCAAAAAAACAGAAAAGATTAAAAGATCATTTTCGTGATGAGGAATTTTATATTCCTCATGTTCAAAAAGATGCAAATACTGAAAAAGGGTATACATCTATTTATTTACATAATATCAATAAAATTAAATATAATTTTTTAACACCCCGTTTAAATTTATAGATATTCTGTAAACCAAGGCATGTCCTTTGCTGAAGAATCCAAAAATGCCATAATTGAGACTCAAACCGATGAACACGTCCCACAATTTGGTAAAAATAAAATGCTGAGATGGGATAGCAAAAAGAAAAATTTTGTGAAAGGAACTGGTATAGGATCAGATAATAAAAAATTAATAACTACTGAAAGTGGGATTAAGATCCCTGCTACTTATAAAAGTGGAAGGTAAAAAAAAAAAACTATTTCAATTTAAAAAGATTAAGTTTGACTCGATTATAAAAAATATTACATCTTTTTTTTCAATTAGGTTTAAAGAATGGCAACAACACAATAAACTTCAAATTCCCCGTATGGGAGAAAAAGAACTTCCTAATACAAATCTCAATATGAAACGATATCGGCATAATAAGTTCACAACGCCTAAACCTTTGGATCCTTTATCCAAAAGTTATGAAAAGAAACTCAAGAAAGTTTCCAAATCAGATAGTACAAATGATCAGAAAGACATCTCTAATATATCATCGAAGAAGCGAAATACAGGTGGACACACTAATAAGAGAATCAATAATGAATTAAAGACAGCAGAACAAATTCACAAACTAAGAAAATTAAAAGAAAAACGGAAGGCTAAAAATGCTAGACCTAAAAGTGCTAGACCTAAAAGTGCTAGACCTAATCGTAAGGGAAAATCAACCAAATAAGTTATTAGAATTTAATCTTTAATTTGTAGCATATCATCGATAGTTATAAATAAGGTAATAATTTTTAATGATAGTATAATATGTGAGTGTTATTATTATTTCTCTAAGAATTTAATTTGATAGAAATAGTAACTTATCAAGAAATGATAAAAAGAAATTTATTTTAAAATCAGAATAAACAGCTATGATCATGTAACTACATATAATTTTAATAATGATATCTTAATTAAATCAACAAATTTAATAATATTTTTTTTTTTATATCTAATTATTATTGAAAATTACGTGTAATTTCATTTACTAAATTACTAATAACTTGGGAAGACTTAAACCTTGGAAATTCTTTAATTTTCTCAAGTAAAGGCAAAAGTTTCTTTGAATTCCATAATTTCTTAAGCTATAAAATATAGAAATTAATTTTTAATAATAAATAAATAAATTTTCACTAAATGTTGCGCAATATTTCGCAATTTACACATAATTAATTATGTGCGATCGCCAAGGCGACACGTAACATACCTCAGACTTTGAGTTTTCTGTACTAGTCCTTTTGATTGCAAGTCCGGCAAACTTTAGAATTGATTTTAATGCTTGAGAATCAAAATTTTGATTGCCACATTTTAAGTCTTCTGCAATAAATTGAAGCGTATTGTTTAAATTTTCTCTTATTTTTGGTACTAATTTAGGTATAGTGCTATTAGCACCTTTAGATTCCTATAATCAAACGTAAGGTTGATAAAAAATTTCGACTTAACAAGACAAAAAATAAGATAATTCGTACATACCCGTTTTTTCTTTGGTAGCGCAACATTACAAATAGTAAATGAAACGTCATACGCATTCATGACCTTTTTAGGGTTCTTTGCTGTCTTTGGGTCAGTACAACCAAGGAATATTTCCGAAAAATGCCATGGAATTTGAGGAATTGTAGCAGGCAACTGTGAAAAGCACTTTATATTCAAAGAACTCGACTTAGTACACCAACTCTTATATGTAGATTCATAAATAACAATGGCATTTTTAATATGTTGGTTTGAGATTTCTCTTGAAGCGTCACTAATTTCTTCGTTGTTATGACGTCGAACTATAGCTTTAAGCAGGAACGCACAAGATTTCCAACACAAAGTCATCATATCACCAAAGTGTGCTTTTCGAGCCATATCCTGAACTTGTTCTAATAAAGCGAGTATTTTACTATCATCAAATTCAGTAAGGCCATCCTTTATGACAACAATTCTAGTATTGAGAAGATTATATACGCTCTTTGCAATTTCATCTGTTTTTGCATTCTTTGCTATCTTAAGCAAAGGCATTATTAACTCAAAAATAAGTGGATTGTTTTGTTGTTCCTTGACAAAAATTTTTAACAATCCAATAACTTTATGTTTATAATGAATCCTTTGGTATTTAGTGTCTATAGAAGTAAAGATATTTATTAGTTATATATTAAATCTAATTGATTGAAACATGATATTTACCTTTTTTCTTTTTCTTTCCGAATTTTTGGATTTTGAAAATTTCAGATAACTTAGAATCAATTTTTTCCATCATTTCATCTTGATTATTTATGTCCTCTTCACTATAATCTTCACCCTCATTATTATGATTATTAAGTTCTATTAAAGATTGATCTTTTGCCTCCTTATTTTCATTAACAGTTATATCATTATCCAAGTCACTGTCATTTGATCCATCATCTGATTCGCCGTCAGTACTTTCCTCATCCTCATCTTGATTAATTTCATCGTCGATATCTATTTCATCTACCAATTCTTCTTCATCATTCTCTTGTTTACTTATAAGCTATATTATAAAATTAATAGCGTTAAAGTTTAATAATTTTGTAAAAAAAAAAAAAAAAAATCTTTTAAATGATAAATGATACATACGTCTAACATTAAGTCCAAAGAAGATTTCGTAATGCCGTCACAGAAAACTTTAAAAACTTGCTCGGACATGTTATATAAAAATGCAGATGGTTTTGCAAGAAAACCAAGTAAAATATCTACAATTACGTCAACAGGATTATGTTTTTCTTCAAGATTTTCCTCTTTATTCCTTTTCTTTTTTAATGATTTTTTCGATTGTACAAACATTTTATTAAAGCATATTTGTATATCCTAATAATAGTTAAAAGGAGTTATATAATTGTGTAACTTTAAGGAATATTAAATATTAGAATAATACTAATTTAATACATACCTGCAATGCATTCATTGCTTCTTCTGGTTCTGTATATAAAGTAAGAACGGAATAAGAAAACAACAAATGGAAGCCTTGAAGGATGTCAAGATTATGCCCTTTAGAATCTTCACTATTTAACTATACAATTCAAATAGATTGTATTAAATCTTTTCCTTCATTAGATTACAAATACAAATCTAATGCAATTTTACCTTGTCTATAATTGTTTGTAACAGCTTTATTACTGTGCTTTTTAGTTGCTGCGCTTCATCGCTTAAAATAATTAAAGGCTCAAGTTGAGTGTCGTAATCAAATCTATTCATCAAAGCCACAGCATAATAAGACCATGTTTGACCACTTTTCATAAAACCACTACGAGTACGCATAGGTTTCTCCGTTTTATCTTATATGTAATTAATAAAATTCAGTAAGAATGTGTTTAAATATTTAAGATAGGCTAACTTCACATTGAAGTCTTCTTACCATCACTAAGTAAAGAACGAAAAGTACTCAACTCGCCAAGAGCATGAAAGAATCTTAACCGACAACGCTCTTGGGTATCCTCATCAATATTTGGTTTAGGTAATATATATTTGCTAATCATTTTCTCAGAATTATTCGTCCTCGAACTATCATCGGCTTGTTGATTTTCGAATTTTACCTTTTTTGGGTCACGCTTTGATTTTTTATTCCGAGATTCTGATTTGCTGATTTCAATCTACAAATAATTAAACATGAGCGTGGAAAATTTAATGATGATTATACATGAATTCATACCTTTTTATCCTTTGAAATCTCATTTAAAAATGAATCTTTGGCTGTGTAAAATCCATAGATAAGAAAAAGATCCAAAACTAAATTTAACCAGCCTTCATGACGATTAATATGAGGATTTTTTAAAAGCGAATATAAATGATCTATAATCCATTGACGTCGTTGTATTGTTGCCTCGTTGTCACTTTTTGAAGAATTATAAAAATTTATAATTTAACTAGAAAAATCAATAAAATTAATCTTTTACATTCTTAATAAGTACCTTGACAAGTTTTCGTCGGGTTTTAAGAAAACATTTTTCAAATACAGAACGTATTCCTCAATTGTGCTATTGTTAATAACATGGAATATGTTCCTGATGGTATAAGTCTTGCTAACTTTGTCAAAATCTCGATCACAATTTTGACCTAAAAATTTTTTAACAATAATCAAGGCCTTCCGCTGGTTTTCCTCGGCGACTTGCTCAATAACCTTTAACTGTTAATGTTATGACAAGACAGTTAAATATTGTACAAAAAAGAAAATTTGAATTAATTAATCCCAATATACCAGATGCATTGCAGATTCATGCAAGTATCGATTCTTCTCGTAAGAATGATTTATCAAAGTTCGCATTAAGTTAGAAGTAAATAAGAAAGAAAATTTGTCTTCCGGACATATTTGAAGAGCTTTCTCTAATAATTGAAATCCCCAGAATTTACGTTGATATGTAGCATCATCATCAAAAAGGCATTCTATAATATTTCAAAAAATAAATCATTCAATAGATTAAGATGTAACGACTATATTTTATTATTAAAAATATTTCTTACCATCAACAGCCGTCTTCCAAAATTCTTCAAAAGCAACTGTTTGCTTTCTAAGTTTATCACTGGGGGGAGAAATAAGCCAAAAAATAATCGTATTCCAAACAGAATGAATACGATTTTCTTGATTCTGCTGAATTTCAGCTGCAGATTGACTGGACTTTGCCTATTTATTATTATAAATAAGAATTAATGTTTTATATGTAATTTAATAAATTTATATATAAAAAAATTTCTATAATCTAACTTAATTATTTCGAAATGGTATTTCTGAAAACCTAATAATTAAATATTTGATGGCTAAAATTTGTAAATACCTGAATAGCTTCTGTCAACTTTTCTAAATTTTCGGGATGAAGTATATGTGGTTTGCACCATTTCGCTATACATGAATCGCCATTATGAACCACGACTCGTATCCATTGATTATTTTGTAATATATCCTGTAGAACGAAAACAACAAAAATATTAATCTGATTGCAATTACCTTTACGAGAAATTAAATCATATTTGTTTCATATGCGTCTCATAACGTTCAATCCATTGTAATTATATACAGGTTAATCAAAAAGATATTTACAGCAGATTAAGATCGTCTGCCATACCGGATATTGTGCTTCAATAGCAACAGCCAAATTAATATCATCAGGGTTGTTGATACCATTTCGGACATTACGTTCATTCATAACCGTTATAAGATGAGAAATCGCCTTCTCCTCAAATGTTGTTTCCTTCAACTAAAAGTGCGTAATAATGACAATCAATGTATGGTTTAAACAATAAATTGACTAGCACTCGGTGGTATTACTTACTAAAGGTATGGTTGAAATAATAACATGATAGCATGTTTCCCTAACATATGGTTTACTATTTGCACAAGCTAGTAAACCATTGATCACTTCGCAATAATCATCATCGGACGAAGTTTTACGCCAAAGAATACCTGACCTTACGACTGACGCGAAGCCGAAAACACGCCCAAAAATTACATCAGATCCTTCCTGTAATTAAGATCGAATTAATATATATTAAGAATTATAAATGAATTATTTAAGTATATACCTTATCCTTAGAAGACGATATTGGACAGGCTTCATCAATTAATGGTAGAATCATTTTGAATGTAAAGAACTCAAAACTAGCAAGAAGCTATATTGAATCCACAAAATGATTAATATTAGCAAAATAATGTTTATTCATACAAAATCATAACGTGTAACCTATACCTCTGTTAATGCTAAAGCAAAACCATGCCGAGCTGCTGCTCGCGGACTAGCAAGTCCTCTCGTCAAACGAATCATAACATAAGCTACAGTAGGACCACAAACCTTCTCAATTACCTCTGTAGAACTATCAGTTAAATAAAATGTAATTAATTAATTCGGAATTATTTGTGAAATATTCAAAAAAAAAAAAAAAAAAAAAATACTGATCATTACCCCAAGAAATCTCTAGAATCATTGATTTTAGATATATTTTTATTGGACGTTATAAATTCTTGATATAATTTATGTAAATGAGTAATTAGTCCATTAGCTGCATTCAGACGTTCTTCAGCATCTAAAGATGCTAATTGCCAAAAATAATCATAGGTAGTGGTAGCCATTGAAAAATCCACAAAGAAAAAAAAAAAAAAAAAAAGATTATCTATATATGTATATAGACCCGGACCATGTCGTCATTCGTGACGGAGACCAATTCATGTTATCGTAATTAAAAAATATATAAAGAATTGTATTTTTAATTATTAAACATAATGATTTGGATAAATAGGGTTTCACATATGAAAATTTTCTCAGAATTCTGTACCGTTCCGAAATTAAGCAACCCCCGAAAATAAGCAACGTGATTTGTTCCATTTTCAAAATTCCTATAAATCACGTGACCGGTATAATTATATCACGTGATAAGCGAAATAGTAGTAAAATAAATTTAAATACTGTATTAATTGATTAAGTTTAATACATGATATATTAATAAATTTAATGCATAATTTATTGATAAATTTAATTGATTAAGTTTTTAAGTTTAACACATGATTGATAAATTTAATTGATTAAGTTTTTAAATTTAACGTATAATTGATAAAATTTATTGATTTAATGCTACAAATTAAAAATTATTTTCCTATTTTATTATCCTTTCTCACAACTCTTTTTTTTTATAAATGCAGTTAAATCATCTTGCAAAATCCGCCTATGTGATTTAAACTGTTTACATGCATACTCAGCTAACTTTCCCGTTAATCCTTCACAATACAATTACATGTATCTTCATGATTTTTAAGCATACTTTCTAATTGTAGTAATATTCACTGAATCAAGTGCTTGTGAAACAGTTTCTTGCAAGCCACTTCATGTGTAATCATAGTGATCCCTTATATAATACTTGGCTGCATTCCAATACATTTTGATAAAATTAAGTTCGCAATGAAACTTCAAATAAAAAACATATAAATAGCCTGCATTTTCAATTACTTCTACAATGGCTGACTTTTATGCTACAAAATCTGGTTGAGATGTCATAATCTTTCTTGCGTAATAAATATCTCTCTGAGATTCTTTTTTTTTACATATTAAATACTCTAAACTTAGTCCCTTCTTCTATAAACCTCTTTTTTGTAATATTCTTTTTATCCTTTTTGGTTTTTCTCAAAAAGCAAGATTAGATAATCTTCTGAAAATATCATTTGTTGAATTATCTCTTATCCATCCTTATCAATAAAAGAGGTTGACTTCATGATCAGCTATTTTCTCTCAGAATCCAAATTCATCTTTGCTGCAATAAGAGCATCTTTGGCATATACTGCATGATTTATACTATTGTCAAAGGCAAAAACAGCTGTTGCATTAGAAAATTTAGCCTCAAAAATAGGAATTGCTTTGGATTTAATCTGCTCTAATAAATGTTTAAAGGTTCAATAGCTTTCCTGATTCTTATCAGATAAAAGATAACAACGAGCTTTTGTAGAAATATCTGGGTTTCTTGCTGCTTCTTCTTCACTAAGTTTTAATTGATCACAAGCCTCTGAAGAAATTCGCTTACCATAATCGATTTTCTGTTTTCTTTCTTTCGCAATGACATTTTATCATTAGCTACCCAAATTTTTTTTCCATCATTTATATAGATACATTCATCATGAGTAATGAAAATTAGCTCTTATTCTTCTTATCTAAGTACCAGTAGAATTGCTTCTATTTCTTTTCCTTCATACCTTGCCATTTGTTATTCCAATTCTTTCATTACAGTAGCGGTCATAAGTATCCGATCGCCTCTAACTCCAGCTACAAGTAAGTAAATTCAAAAAATTTTTTTTATTTAAAAAATACATAACCAACTAACTAAAATTAATACATTGTG